AGTTCATTGATCTCAATGCCTTCTATACCTTTGTTAAGGGTAAATGAAATGCCTTCTTTGATTGTTAATCCTGGGATATATCCTTCTCTCAATGACCTTAGTATCAATCAATCTTTGAACTTCCACAAGGCCACTTTGTTGTTCTTCAATACTTTTGACAAGCTGGAATCTCAGGTTATTTTCATCTTCCTACTTCTGCTTTTCTCCTTTTATGTTAAAGAATTTTCCACTTTTATCACTCCTTTCCCACTGTGCTACACATATAACTACTACATCTGTTTTATATTATTTATAACAAATGAGCTTGCACGAACTCTTATGCAAAATTTAATTATGAGTGTTAAATGAAAATAAAAAGATAATGATACATGTGATGAGGAGAGAAAAGACAACTTAAATATATATATATATATATATATATATATATATATATATATATATATATATATATATATATATATATATAATATGACAATTTTTTGTTTTTCTAAGAATTAATTTGTATTTTATTTTTTAGGAAATTTTGTAAAAAAAACTACCAATTAAAGTGCGTGTTTTGAAAACAACTACCTATTAATTTTTTTTTTTTAAAAGAACTACAACAAAGTTGTAAAAAATTTAAGTAGCACTACCACTTTAATAATTCCAACTAGAATATTCGGCATGTAGGTTCTACATTTTACATTTACCTCATAAAATCATCATCTAAATTAACTAAATTACCCCTCATAAAGGTAAAAAGTGATAAAAAGTGAGACCCAAATACCGGAGATTTTAGCCAAAATTGTTAAAGTGGTAGTGCAAATTAAACTTTTTATATCTTTGTGGTAGTTCTTTTAAAAAAAAATTTTAATAGGTAATTGTTTTCAAAACACGTGCTTTAATTGGTAGTTATTGAAAAAAATTTCCTATTTTTTATAGGAAAAAATTGTCTTGATTAGACAAACTTTTATATGTGCCAGCCATTATAGGGGTTACTTTGTTAGTGTTATAGGGGTTTTCAGTTAGTGTTATATGGGTTACTTTGTCAATGCTATATGGGTTAATCATTCAATGTTATAGGGGTTACTCGGTTAATATTTCATTAGCTACTCAATCAGTGTTATAAGGGTTACTTTGTTTTTGTTTTTTTTAATAAGTGGCCACTACATGGTGGTGCTAGCCGCACACAAAACACATTGAACACATTTTCAATGTCGGTCACATCGTGTGGTAAGACTTATTTGGTCAGGGGGTATTCAATGGGTCAAGGGCTATTCGATTAGTCCAGGGCTACTCGGTCGATCAGGGGTTATTCGGTTAGTGTTTTAGTGTGTGTCAACCGGCCTCACGGTGTAGCTAGTCACACAAAAACACGCTGATAAGCATATTTATATTTCATTTCACCTAAATGGAAAATAAAAATGCACAAGTTTTAATTTAAACTTGTAGGTCTTGTTCACTTCACCTTATTTTTGCTGAAACGAAAATATTTTTACTGAATTGAAATTAGTTTTGCTAAACTTAAATTACTTTTACTGAATTGAACTTATTTTTGCTAAACTTAAATTATTTTTACTGAATGGAAATTATTTTTACTAAACTGAAATTATTTTTTACAGATTCTTTGTTATATTTATTTTTCAAAGAAACTAATTTTTTTATTGAACTAAAATTATTTTTATTGGACATTAGTTTTATAAGATGAAGTGAACAGGACCTTACACTATACTAAAAATATATTTTTTTAAATGAAACCGAGTCACCACTAGACTTTTTTTTTTATTTTTTTATTTTTATAATGTTTGGAGTAATCCGTAAAGTTTTTTCAAGAGCCGTATTATAAACCAAAATTTCATAATACCTTTGGAAATATTAGCTAAAAGTGTCACAAAATTTGTATATGAACTTGCCCAACCCGAATAGATCTGATCTGCTGTGGATCAACCCAAACTCTATCTGATTATTCGAATTGACACCCTTAATCCCATATCACAATATTACTTGGTTTTTTTGGTCTTTTGCCACAATATTGTGTTCAGCAACATACCAAGCTTGCTTATGGTGAATGGTGATCATGGGAAATTTCAATAATGTGATGTTGAGATCACAAGTTCAAGCTCCTAAATGTGCTTATGCTTGAATTAGAGGGATTCTCTTACCTCCTCCCACTATATACCCTTATGCTTGCAATTAGAGGGATTCCTTTAATTACCTTCCCACTTTATTCTTAGGAAAAATACACTTTAATAATCCTAACTATTAGCGATTTACTTTCAATAATCCCAACTAAGTTTTATTATCTAATAATCCCAACTATGCTATGAGTTTTCCTCTAGCAGTCCCAACCGGTCAACGAAGAGTCAACGACCTATATATTATAAGAAGTAACCATGACACGTGTCGATACATGATTGGTTCAAAATTAAAAAAAAAAAAAGAAAAAACGCAAATCCCCAGCCACTCCCATCTCCCCTTCCCCCACCGTATAACCCCTCAGCCCAACCCCTTACGGCCTTACCCCACCTGGAACTAGCCGCCGCCACCTTAACACCCTTAAAGAGCCGCCGGACCCATCCCAACCCCTATATCCAACACAACGGCCAGCGGGATTACTTCAATTAACAAACCAAATCAGCACAGTCGTTGATTCAAGAGCCGAGGCTGGTGAGTGGTGACGACCATGGAAGTGACATCGTCGGAGGAGTTTCGGCGGCGAGGAATGAAGAATTTGAGGACAGAAGTTGAAATGGTGAGAGATTGGCCTGGGATTCGAAACGGTGGTAGATCGGGGGTGGGGTTTTACGAGGCTTGAGATTGGGATTCGAGTTGTGTCCGCCATTGATGCAAGTTTCCGGGGGTTGAGATTGCGGTGAATGGCGGTGTTGATTTGCAGGTGGTTTATGGCGGTGAAATTCCGGTGCTATAATTCCGTCAGAGTTCTCGGCTCTCACTAAGCTTGAGGTGTTGGTTTGCAGGTGGTCGATTGCGATTGTGTTGGTTTTGGGGGGTTGGGACTTGGGAGGGGTCGGCTGGCCGGTTTCCGAGGGAGGTCAGGGGTTGGACTAATGGTTTTACGGTGGGGGAAGGTGGAGAAGGGAGTGGCCGGGGTGTCTGGGTTTTTTTTTCTTTTTTTTTTTTTAATTTTTTTTCTAGACCAACCACGTGATGACAAGTGGAATTAAAAAAACAAAAAAAAAAAACATTTACCACTTCAGTAGGTACCCGGTTACTCGAACTGCTGGAGGAAAACTCATAGCATAGTTGGGATTATTAGATAATAAACCTTAGTTGAGATTATTGGAAGTAAATCGCTAATAGTTGGGATTATTAAAATGTATTTTTCCTTATTCTTAAACTTGACTTGCAGTGTAGCTAAATAACTTGTGAGAGGGGTTGATTTAGTAGCCTTTTTTTCATTGTATATGTATACAAAAAAATTATATTATTATAAATGATGATCAACAAACTTATGTATTTCCCAACCATACACTATTTTTTTTACTCCTTAACCAACACCACACCATCCACCATATCTTATCTTCTTAAAGAATTGGGATATTCAACAACTTAAGGAGAACATTAAGCTAGTTAGGAGTAAAGAAATGGAGGAAGAAACACCGACATCAATACCACCACATATTTTGGTATTCCCATGTCCAATACAAGGCCACATAAACCCAATGCTCCGATTCTCAAAACACTTAGCTTCCAAAGGCCTTAAAATAACCTTAATTACAACCCCATCACTATCCAAATTACTTCCCTTATAGTCCCAATCCAGTCCGATCCAAATCCAATCCATTTATGATGGTCTCAAAGACGGCGAAAAACTTGACATTGAGGCGTACATAGAGGTTTTCCAAAGAGTAGTCCCTATAAGCCTAGCTAACCTTATTGAAGAGTACAAAGTAACAAGCCACCCTGTGAAGTTCATAGTGTATGATTGTTTGTTCACTTGGGCCTTAGACTTGGCACGGACGGCTGGGATCGACGGGGCCCCGTTTTTCACTCAATCAGCAGCCGTTCATTCCATACATTACCATGTATATGAAGGAGCATTGAAGTTTCCCTTTAGAAGTTCACTTATTTCAATGCCTTCAATACCTTTGTTAAGGGTTGAGGAAATGCCTTCTTTGATAGTTAATCCAAGGTGTTATCCTTCTCTAAATGACCTTAGTATCAATCAGTCATTGAACTTCCACCAGGCCAGTTTATTGTTCTTCAACACTATTGACAAGTTGGAATCTCAGGTAATTTTTTATTTTAAAAAAATGTTTATGTTTACGAAATTTATAATTTAATGTATATGCTATATAATTAGTGTAACTAACTTGCCTAAGGGCCTATTCACATTTACTTAATTTCAGTTCAGTTCAGTACAGCTCCAATCAGTTCAATTCAGTTCAGTTCAGCTCCAATTAGTTTAGTTCTGTTCAGTTGAGTTCAGCTCCTAATAATTTCCCTCTCTCATAAAATATTCATTTTAGCTCAGTTCAATTCAGTTCAGTTCAACTCCAATCAGTTCAATTCAGTTCAGTTCAGCTCATTTCAGTAAATGTGAACAGGCTCTAAGTATTTACTCCCTCGTTATTTTTTATCCCAATTTGGCCATTCTATTTTATTCTATTCATTTTGCTTTATTCTATTTTATTTTTATATAATGAAATATTAATGAAAATTATATAAGAAAATATTATGAAACTTTATACAACACGTTTTCGTTCTGTCGGCTAACACATATCAAAACATTAATCGGGTAACTCCTGACCGACTGGGTAATCCATGACCGACCGAGTAACCCTTGACCAACCGACTAACCCCTGATTAAGTAACCCCTCAGTGATCGAGTAACCCTCGGCTAAGTAACATCTTACCGATTGAGTATTTCCTGAACAAGGTGTGGCCAACCACATATATATATATATATATATATATATATATATATATATATATATATGAAACTTTGTGCAAAATATATTAATACCTAGCTAACAACATATTTTAATATGTTTTTTTATTATTTTATTAAAAAAACTATAGAAAAAGTTAATACATAAGTAATGAAAAAAAGTTTAATGTGTCAATTATTTTGGGACAACCGCAATAAATGAATTCAGGCGACAACAGTAGATTTAGTGATGACAATAAAATAAATAATTTTCCTTGACCCTTTTGTAGGTCAATCCTAATCTAACTTTGAAGATACCAACTACACAATATCACTTGATTTTTGCCACCGATAGTAATGTGTCCCACAATCATAAATCAACCTATGAGTGCCCCAATCATGCATTACTATTTCACTCCTCAACCTACACCAATACACCATCCATCACATCTTATCTTCTCAAAGAATTGAGAATTCAACAAAGAAGAACATTAAGCTAGCTAGGAGTGCAAAATGGAGGAAGTAACCAAGACATCAATACAACCTCATGTGTTGGTATTCCCATTTCCTATACAAGGCCACATAAACCCAATGCTCCAATTCTCAAAACGCTTAGCTTCCAAAGGCCTTAAAGTCACCTTAGTCACAACCCAATCACTATCCAAATTACTTCCCCCTCAGTCTGAGTCTAGTCTGATCCAAATCCGATCCATTTATGATGGTGTAAAAGACGGCGAAAAACTTTATCATGAGGGCTACGTAGAGCTTTTCCAAAGAGTAGTCCCTATAAGCCTAGCTAACCTTATTGAAGAGTACAAAGTAACAAGCCACCCTGTGAAGTTCATAGTGTATGATTGTTTGATAACTTGGGTCTTAGACTTGGCAGGGACGGTTGGGATCGACGGGGCCCCGTTTTTCACTCAATCAGCAACCGTCCATTCCATACACTACCATGTTTATGAAGGAGCAATAAAGTTTCCCTTTAAAAGTTCATTGATTTCAATGCCTTCAATTCCTTTATTAAGGGTTAATGAAATGCCTTCTTTGCTAGTTAATCCAGGAATATATCCTTCTCTCAATGACCTTAATATCAATCAATCTTTGAACTTCCACAAGGCTAGTTTGTTGTTCTTCAATACTTTTGACAACTTGGAATCTCAGGTAATTTTTTATTTTAAAAAATGTTTATGTTTTACTTGTATTATTTTAGGAAATTTTGTCAAAAACTACAAATTAAAGTGCGTGTTTTGAAAACAACTACTTATTAAAAAAAATTTAAAAGAACTACCATAAAATTGTAAAAAGTTTAAGTAGCACTACCACTTTAATAATTCCAACTAGAATATTCGGCATGTAGGTTCTACTTTTTACCTTTGCATCATAAAATCATCATCTAAATTAACTAAATTACCCTTCATAAAGGTAAAAAGTGATAAAAAGTGAGACCCAAATACCGGAGATTTTAGCCAAAATTGTTAAAGTGGTAGTGCTAGTTAAACTTTTTATATTTTTGTGGTAGTTTTTTTAAAAAAAAAAATTTAATAGGTAGTTGTTTTCAAAACACATGCTTTAATTGGTAGTTGTTGACAAAATTTCCATTTTTATGACTAAGTTGCCTAAAGTTTTTATATAAATATGTTTGTTAATGGGAAGCTTTTGATGTAGTTTATACTAAAGTAGTTTCAACCACATGAATCACCATCACTAGATGATAAATTTGTCTTGTTTCAATATATGGCCAAGGTTTATTTATTTATTTTAAATTTTTAATAAGGTATACACAAACCTTTTATGGTGTGGCTGGTCATACCGTGTGACCAACCATTACTTCATTAGTGCTATAGGGGCTACTCGGTCAATGTTATAGCAATTACTTAATCAGTGTTACAGGGATTACTCGGTCAGTATTATACGAGTTACTTGGTTTAGTGTTATAGGGACTATTTTATTCTTTTACAAGTGACCACATGGTGTAGCCAGCTGCACAAAAAACAAACTGGTCCATATTAGAAATTTCTAAAGTCATAAAATGGACCAAAATTTATTGATCAAATAGAAAAGTAGGTCCATTTATTAGTTATGATCTTGTACTGCTAATCTGCCATCAGGAAAAATAATTGGGAACTCTTTACACATCTTTAGTTAACTTAAAAACTTATTACAAGCTCTTGCCCCTATTTAATATCCCACGTTTGATTTTGGGGTCGTTTTTAACAGAATTTAGTTGATATACTATTGTCCAATGTTGTCCTTATCATTCATTGATTTCATTTCCATCATAACAAGCAACATTACTTTGAAAATCTTAGCTAAACATGTCATAAAGGTGACCTATTATTTTGGAATAACATAGCAAAAGGTCACACAATTATTTAAGGGCGAGGGAGCATCAATTTAAGTTTGAAATTATATTGACAATTGCTAACTAACATTTGTGATCAGGTACTAGACTGGATGAGAAGCCAATGGCCTATAAAAACAATAGGACCAGCCATCCCCTCAATGTACTTGGACAAACGCTTGGAAGATGACAATGAATATGGCCTAAGTTTCTTCAAGCCCGAAACCGATGCTTGCCTACAATGGCTTGATGCAAGAGAAACTAGTTCAGTTGTCTACATTGCAATGGGAAGCTTGGCTTCTCTTGGAGCAGAGGAAATGGAAGAAATAGCTAAGGGTGTAATAAATACCGAAAAGCATTTCTTATGGGTTGTTAGAGCTTCAGAAGAAGATAAGCTTCCTCCAAATTTCAAAGAGGAAATATCAGGGAAAGCTTTAGTTGTCAATTGGTGCCCTCAGTTAGCCGTTTTGGCTCACCGGGCAATAGGGTGTTTCGTGACACATTGTGGGTGGAACTCGACTTTAGAAGCTATAAGTATCGGGGTTCCCTTGGTGGCAATGCCTCAGTGGGTAGACCAACCTACCAATGCCAAGTACATAAACGACGTTTGGAGAAATGGTGTTAGATTAAAGGTTGATGAAAAGGGTATTGTAACAAGGGATGAACTGAAAGCCTGCATACTAGAAGTGATGGAAGGAGAACGTGCAAGCGAAATCAGAAGCAACGTCGCAAAATGGAAGAAATTGGCTCAAGAGGCTATGGATGAAGGTGGTAGTTCTGATAGGAACATTGAGGAATTTGCTGCTAAACTGAAAAACATATAGGATTTTTTGATAGCTCAGTAACCTGTTTATGAATTGTTATGCTGCTTGGACTTGTAGCGACTTGCTGTTTGTTACCTTCAGTCGTAATTGACTCATTGTACTCCTTCCGGCCTTCAATAATACAATAGAGTAAATTTTATAACTCGGGTCATCCCTCAGTTTTAGTAAACTACATATTCGTCACACCAAAACAGACACTTACATTATCAATTAATTAAGGTAACATGAAAAAATTTACGAAGAAAAAAAATGATACGAGTAGGTTACAGTGATTGAAAAAAAATAGAGTACTAATTAATTATCGGTTATTGCTGCAATGAAACCATCAGATGTACTCTGAAAAGATTGACAGACAGTAGATATAATAACTAGAAAAAACAAGGAAATAAATTTATGGTTTATATTAGCGTTGAGAGTTACAATTCTTACAAACTACTGGGATTGTAAGACCAGCTGTAGTGCCTATATAAACAGAGCAACACCAGCACCATTTTAAAACAGATGCGGGAGCTCCAATTTCTATATCGGGGTTAATATACTTCTAATACTTGTGGTTCATTAAATGGTAACCTATAGGATGGGGGAAGCTAGAGCATCAATATAAAAGGTAAAGGCAAGCCTTGATATCAGTCTCGTCTCTCTGGCTCAGTTGTGTTGTCATCCTCAGCTCGGTGGCCCAATCTGACAATGTCTTCAACAAGAATCTTTCCATCTGGTGCAACATCAGTTATATAAATCTTTTTTATTAGCTTGATTATTGTTTAGAAAGTACTTATATGTAATATGAGAAACAGTACAATAGCCATCAGATAACATTCAGGGCAAAAATTATCACACACATTACCCGCCTTATTAATCAAAGACTATGTATAGATTGTCTCGCTTTGCTTAGTAATTTACCTCTATCTTTTGCAAGGTTGCTAATTAACTCTTCAACACCCTCCTTGCCAAATCTGTGCTTCAAGTACATAGCAGCAGCAGCCACTTCCTCAGGTGTCACTTTCCCGTCAAAGTCCCTGTGCAGTAAAAGTGTTAGTTATAGTGAGACTTGCAGATAATGGCATCAATTTCTAATTTTCTATCCATCTCCAAATATCAAGTTACTAGCTTGCAAAACCTTGAAATGTAATCCTGTACTCATTTTTAGAATTTTCAAACAACTTGAAAGAAGAAGCCAACGAGCATCCAATTATTTCATTATGGCTACCAAGCATCTTAGCTTCATTTACATTCACCGCTTTTAAGAGACTCCAGAAGGTCATGCAAGTAGATTTTATATGAGTTTGTATACATACATTATTTACATAAACTTTTTGTTATCTACTTACAAATTATAAGTCTGAAGATAAATTGAAATAATATCCAAAGCAGTTAACTAATTCACCTGTCTAGTAGCTGCCAGCGATCACCTATTTTGGCATCCACATCGTCAATTTCTTTTTCCAGTTTCTGAAGCATCTCATCAACCTACCAGCATGAATAAGAAAAAGGATAATTTGAATTTTAGTACCTCAAATATGGGGGTAATTGAATTTTAGTACCCATCTAAAATTTTATTTTAAATTAGTACCTCAAAAATGACTAAACTATAGATATCAGTACCTCCGTCCATGTTCCGTTGAGTTTTCCGTTAGTGGGGCCCTTTATCTAATTATTTAATAATTTAATTTATTAAAAAAAAAAACATTTTATAAGAAAAAAAAAAAAAAAAAAAAAAACTAATAAAATAATTAAAAAAAAAAAAAAATCAGCCACACCGGCGCTGGCCACCCCTTCCCCGAAACCCTAGCGCAACCACCACCATCTTCCCTCCCATTCTCGTTCCTGGCCGCGGCACCCCACCCCCTCCCTTTCCCTTTCCCTCCCTGTTTTCCCCTTCCCCTTCCTCGTTCCTGGCCGCGGCGATGTGGTGGATTTCAGATAAGGTGGGTTTCGTATATGGGGTTTTAGGGTTCGTCGGTTGTGGGTTTTAGGGGTTTCTGGGTTCGTCGGTTGTGCGGTGGTGGGTTTTAGGGGTTTCTGGGTTCGTCGGTTGTGGGGTGGTGGGTTTCTGGGTTCGTCGGTGGTGGGGTTGTGGGTTTTGGGGGTTCGTGGGTGGTGGGGTGTGGTGGGTTTCTGGTTTCGGGTGTTCGTGGGTGGTGGGTTTATGGCACCCCTGGGCTTCCTGCCTGGCCGCGGCGGCAGCTGCTGTGGCTGGGCTTCCTGCCTGGCCGCGGCGGCAGCTGCTGTGGCTGGGCTTTGCTCCAGGGAAGGGGAAAACAGGGAGGGAAAGGGAAGGGGTGGCCGGCGCCGGTGCCAGGGGAATTCGGCCACCAACAGCCGGAAGCCGGCGCCGGCGCTGGTGTCAGTGGCTGTTTTTATTTTTTAAAGTTTTTTTTTTTATAAAATGTTTTTTCTTTTTTTTTTAATAAATTAAATTATTAAATAATTAGATAATGGGCCCCACTAACGGAAAACTTAACGGAACTAGACGGAGGTAGTGAAACCTATAGTTTTGTCATTTTGGAGGTACTAATTTAAAATAAAATTTTAGATGGGTACTAAAATTCAATTACCCCCTTATTCGAGGTACTAAAATTCAAATTTTCCTAAGAAAAACTTAAAAAGTGGTTTAATGCTAAAAGTAATCAGCATTGGATCATGAATCTATAGAAAATCCAAACTTACCTGTTCTATGAGAGCTGATGAAGCCTTGTCCCGAACAGCTACTTCAGCAGCATGGTCACTTTCTTCTCGAGCAGCTTTATACGCTTTCAGAGCATCGGCTTCACCATCAGTACCCTCTTTCTCAACCATGGTATTATACAGATCTATCTGAAAGGATCAACGAATACCAAACACCAGAAATGAAGCAAGATCATAAAAACGAAAATTTTGCACAGAAGTGTACAATTTCTTAGAGGTGATTTTCCATATTCAGTTTGCTCTATTTCCAAGAATATGTTTCAAGTACAATTCTGTAGGAGGTACTTGGTCACACTAAAACCCAGTAATAGAACATAGAAGCATATCATTTATTTCTAGCAATGCTCCTTTTCCACTTTTTTTGATGGCAGATTGGGTGAAAGGGAAAGCATAGACGCCACCACCAGAGAGCATGTGTTTAGGGTAAATAAACATGCTCACAAATCAATATGCAAGCAGTATAAATCTGACCCAAATAATCTTCACGATAGGTAGTAAAAATTAGGCAGCTAAATTCAGCTGTCAAGTTAATCACGAGATATCAAAGTTCCAACTTTGAGTAATGAAATAAATCTCAAACATAACCCATACTATGTACATGATATATACATATGATAATTTTAAAATACCAAAATCAAGCCAAAGAAACATAAAGAACCCCAAAGAAAAATGATTGCGGAGCTCAGTCACACAAACATAAAATAAATACAGAGCGAGATGTCATGGTCTAACTCATAGTCCCCATGTATCATTGGGTGTGTGGGTATAGCAACATAGGGAGCACTCATTGACTTCCTTCGATTGGGGGAAATTATATTTTGGAATTCGCATATATTTCTTCTGAACACTCAAAATGACGGTAACATAATAATGGGCCTAGACGAGCTTCAATTGGGCTAAAACTTGAGGGTCCACCATTTTTTGGGTCAATGAGGATAATGGTTGAGCTACTATTTTGTCGAATCCCGGATAAATTCTAGAGTTCTTGGCAGCCCAACTGTAATTACTTAGAGGCTAGGAATTTTATGGGGATTTCCGGAAGCATGTACCTAGGAGAGCCTAGACCAGAACTTGTAAGGAAGTGCGTAGAAACCTCTAGGAATTATAAGCATCTGTACATACATTCAAGAAAACTCACTTGTCCTTCTCTCAAGCACTACAAAGTAATCCTTATAATGATAAGCATTCTACTCTCTTTTAATTAGCAAGACTTTATGTGTCTTCTGACGTGAGTGTGAAGTAAGTGGCAGCAACGAACCGAAAAGCATAGAGAGTACTATGCCGTTCTTTGATCCACCCTCCCTCCACCAAAATAAAATATAATTTTCGCATAATAAAGCTAATGATAAACGAAGAAAACCCAAAATTAGAATTAGCACCTTCAGGATATATATGATCAGTGTATATTAATACTAGTGCATACCTCTTTGTTGACGAGCCTCAGGAACTCCTCACGTTCCCCGCTCACTGACTGCAAAGTTAATACAAATGTACTCAGTATCAATTCAGATTAGTCAATTCAACAGGTTACATGACTGAAGAAAACAAGGTTTCTACAATTATCATACAGAAGCAGAAGCCAAAACAGCCAATGCACGACTGAGTTCACAGAGCTGTTCTTGTTTTTCAGCTGCTCTTATTCTTGCTTGTTCTTGTGATTCTCTTGCTGTTGTGATGTTCATCTCTTTCAATGCAACATCTATGTCATCCTTTGCAGAGCCTTTGGTCTCGGCATCTTCTTCGTTCCTCTCTTCTTCATCCTGTGAGTTAATCAGATAAAGCAAAATCTATAATCGAATACCAAGGTGAAAAGAAAGAGAACGGCATAATCTCCACAGCCCCCTCCCCACAAAACCAAAAAACAAAGGAACCAGAAGTTCCTTACGTACGGTTTCAGTATAACCATAGGTCTTTAAGAAAGTAACCAAAATTCGTACAAAGCAATTTTTTGCAAAATGATATGCAGGAGTGAGAGGGAGGAGGGACTAAATGAGCATAACAGAATAGGAGTCAACACCTTAATTAGCTCCTCCTGCATCTCCAAGTATTCCAATTTCCTCCTCCTCTCCGAAACAGAATCTTCAGAGGGCAAAGATGTGACACCAATGGTATCTACAACCTCATCTGGAAGAGAAGACAAAGTTGCCTGCACGACCTCTTCGGGCTTCAGCTTTCCGGACACCATAAAAGCCCTGCTACCCAAAAAAAATAAAAAAATAAAAAGAGGATGATGATTTCATGTACCTTTTAAGTTTCACAAAGCTTTCTAATCATACTTCACACACATCCATATGTTAGTGTACGCTACCTGGAAAGGATTAACAAGGAAGACGGGACAGAGTGATTGAGGGACAGATCCAGCCAGTCGCGAAGCTGCAGACAGAAGTTAATAACCCTTTATATTCAGTACAAATCGTAGCCTCTTATTAAAATCATTATTTTTGGGGTAATTTCTACTAAAAAGTCAGTAGTACAGCTGAGCAACATGGGATGGAAAAATGGTAACAATCCCTACCATGTAACTCCACCGAAGGCATTAATGAAATTATACCACAATACGGTACATACCATGCCTTGATCCACAAATATTTACTGTTGTATTTTAGTTTTAACAGCTACAGTATTTCTTTAAATAAATAATTAAAAAAAAAATTAAACACTATACTTAATGATTTTTTGGAGCTTTAAATAGACACCCATTTGACATATTTTGATACAAAAACTAATCTATTGTAGGAGAGAGGAAACATAGGAAAGCGAAAGATAGGTAACTTTCTTTAATATTTATGAGTGGGATGAAGTTTTTTTTTTTTTTTTTTTTTTTTTTTTTTTTGTTTTATGACGGGATGAGTGAGATGAAGTTTTGATGCAAAGAAATCATGGGATGATATAGATGATGTGGAGGAGTCAGAAAGTAGTAGAGAAAGAAGGATGGTATAAAATCTTTTACCAAGGTTGGGAATGCTCTTAGAGCAACACATTATAGCTTGCCATGTCCATTGTTTAAAAAAGAGTGCCTAAGGTACTAAGCCAAGGCGCACCTAGGTGCAGCAGATCCATTGTTTAAAATAGCGCGCCAGGCAATTAGGAATTTAAGGCAAAACACTTTTTTTGCACTAGGCGATGCATTCAAAGGGGCACACTTCACTCAATTTTTTTAGATGTATTCAGTGCCCTTCAAAAAGGAGCACCCAGGTGCAGCAGGAACTCCATTGCTCTAGTATGCCTTGTGCTACTTTTTGCTCTAATGGACTATTTGTCAATTAAACTTTTGATTTTAAATTTAAATAATATCAATTAAAATACTGTTAAATTATGCCTTGAATAAGATTATATGGCACATGAATATGACTACCTTGGGCACCAAGTGTCTTACTTGGGCACCAATCTTGGTAATACTTGGGCACCAAGTGTTATACTTGGGCACCAAGCTTGGTAAAGTTTACCTTGGGCTCCAAGGTTAGGAGGTCTATAAATACCCCTTAGGATTAGTCATATTCATTCATTCATTCCATAAGTAGTATTTCATATGGTGATACTCATGGGGAATAATCATGGGATATATTCATGGGGATATTGAATGGGGATATTCAATATCACTTTGTAATATATAATCTGTAATCTGGAAAAGATCCTCAAGATCAATAAAAGGTTTTTCTCTCGTCTGTCCGTGGAGGTAGCCAATTTGATAATTGGTGAACCACGTAAATCTGTGTGTTCTTGTTAATACATTCTCATCTTGTTTCTCCCTCACATCCGTCATAACAAGTGGTATCAGAGCTAAGGTTCAATCTTAGTGAGGGAGATGTCTGGGGTGAATGTGAAAATCGACAAGTTCACGGGGAGAAATAGTTTTAGCCTATGGCAGATCAAGATGCGGGCGTTGCTGAAGCAACAAGGGATGTGGGCACCATTGACAAAGAAGTCAGTGGGTCCGGAAACCGCTGATATGACCATTCTGGAGGAGAAGGCACACTCGACAATAATGTTGTGTCTTGCAGACGATATCATCACCGAGGTCGCGCAGGAGGAAACCGCATCGTGGTTGAAATTGGAGAGTTTGTACATGACAAAGTCTCTAACCAACAAGTTGCTTTTGAAGCAACGCCTGTTCAGTCTGCGTATGAATGAAGGTACACCTCTCAGAGATCACCTAGATCAATTGAATACAATTTTGCTAGAATTGCGTAATATTGATATTAAGGTTGATGATGAGGATGCAGCTTTATTACTGTTAGTCTCTTTACCGCTTTCATATGAAAATTTTGTGCAATCTTTCATTAATGGTAGAGATACTGTGACCCTAGAAGAAGTTAGATCTGCTCTTCATACTAGGGAACTACGCCATAAGGCATCTGGCAGTACAATCAAGCCTCTGGATTAATATGGCCAGTGGAGGTAAGGGGCATGGAAATGCCGGGAAAAGGAAAAATAAGAAACCCGAAAGTTTCAAGGAAGGTTCTAAACCAACTGTTGTCTGTAATTACTGTAAAGAAAAGGGGCATTGGAAAAGGGAATGTCCCAGGAGAGCTAAATCGCAAGAAAAGTCTGGCTCTGCTGCTGTAGCAGTTCGAATTCTGAAGATGACATAGCTCTAGTTGCAGGTGAACAAACACATTATACCGATGTGTGGGTTCTAGATTATGGAGCATCATACCATATATGTCCACGTAGAAAGTGGTTTACTACCTACGAGAAGGTAGATGGGGGAAATATTTCAATGGCCAATAATGCAATCTGCAAGGCAATTGGGATAGGCTCCATCAAGATCCGGACACATGATTCAGGCATGTTCCACAAATGACTAAGAATTTGATTTCTCTTAGCAGTTTCAGGGGTGAAGGTGGAGTAATGTATGTCTGCAAGGGTTCAAATGTAGTCCTAAAATGTGTCAAGCATGGTACCTTGTATTTTCTACAAGGGTACACTCTATCAGATTCAGTTGCGGTTGCTTCATCTAAAATGCAGAAAGGGGATATGACCAGGTTATGGCACATGAGGCTTGGACATATGAGTGAGAGAGGAATACAAATCCTCTCCAAGGCAGATCTTCTAAGTGGTCATAAGGTCACGGACCTTGACTTTTGTGAGCATTGTGTTTTGGGAAATTACATCATAGCAAATTTCCTAAAGGCATTCACAGAACTAAAGGCACTCTTGATTATATTCACTCGGATTGTTGGGGCCCTTCACGTGTGGAATCGTTGGGAGGTCACAGATATTTTGTGTCGTTCATTGATGATTTTTCAAGAAAAACTTGGGTGATCTTAATGAAAGACAAAAGTGAAGCTTTCAAGAATTTCCAACAGTGGAAGGCGTTAGTGGAAAAGCAAGCTGGGAAGAAGATTAAGAAGCTACGAACCGATAATGGTCTGGAATTTTGTTGGTTTGATTTTGACGAGTTTTGCAAAAACGAAGGGATTGCTAGGCATTACACGGTAAGGGATACACCACAGCAAAACGGTGTAGCAGAACGAATGAATCAGACACTTTTGGAGAGGGCTCGATGCATGCTCTCTAATGCTGGATTGACTAGAAGATTCTGGGGAGAAGCAGTCAGTACGACATGTTATCTGATCAACCGTGGACCGCATACTGGAATTAACCTTAGAACACCTTATGAGGTGTGGTCTGGTAAGCCTGCTGATTACTCAATTTTGAAAGCTTTTGGTTGCAATGTTTATTATCATGTAAATGAGGGTAAGTTGGAACCACGAGCAAAAAGGGGAGTATTCGTAGGGTGTGGAGATAGGGTTAAAGGATATAGAATATGGTCCCCATCGGAGAATAGGGTTATACTTAGTAGAAATGTTGTCTTTGATGAAAATTCTATGTTTAACCTTATTGTAAAATCCACAATTGGATCAGATAGTGGTAGTGTTGACAAACAGGTGGAGCAGCAAGTCACTCATGATGAGAGTGATGAGGGAAAGGAAGAAGATGTTCAACACGATATTTCTTCAACACCAATTTTGAAAAAACTTGGTCTAGCTCTGGATCGCTCTAAAAGGGCGAATTTTGGGAAACCTCCAAATAGGTTTGGTTTTGAAGACATGGTGGCTTGTGCACTACAGGTTGCCAAAGAAGTGGATGTCTACGAGCCATCTACTTATATTGAAGCGGTTACATGTACGGAGTCTACCCATTGGCTTGCTGCAATGGGAGACGAAATTGAGTCACTTCACAAGAATAAGACTTGGGATCTTGTTCAAAGGCCTCCTTGTAAATGGGTTTTCAAGAAAAAGGAGGGGATAAAATCTGAGGAGGGGATCAAGTATAAAGCTCGATTAGTTGCAAGAGGGTTCACACAAAGGGAAGGAGTAGACTACAATGAGATATTCTCACCTGTGGTTCGACATACTTCAATCAGGGTACTACTAGCAACGGTTGCACATCGGGAGTTGGAACTTGAGCAACTAGATGTTAAAACAGCTTTCCTACATGGAGAGTTGGAAGAGGATATATACATGACCCAACCAGATGATTTTCAAGTTCCGGGAAAGGAAGAATTTGTTTGCAAGTTGAAAAGGTCCTTATATGGGCTAAAGCAATCTCCCAGGAAATGGTACAAGAAATTTGATAGCTACATGGTGGAGCTAGGCTACAACAGGAGTCCGTATGATTGTTGTGTATACCACAACAAGTTGGCAGATGGATCTCGTCTACTTAGTCCTATATGTAGATGATATGTTGATAGCTGCAAGAAACAAGTTGATATTCAGAAGTTGAAGGGCCTCCTCAGTGCCGAGTTCGAAATGAAGGATTTAGGTGCGGCTCGAAAGATTTTGGGCATGGAGATTTATAGGGATCGGAGTCAAAAGAAACTTTTCTTATCACAAAAAGGTTACATTGAGAAGATTTTGTCTAGGTTCGGCATGTCAACGGCTAAGCCTATAGATACTCCAAGTGCGGCCAATGTTCATTTATCGGTTGCTTTTGCGCCTAAGTCGGTTGAGGAGAAGGAGTACATGTCTCGGGTTCCCTATGCTAGTGTAGTAGGGAGTTTGATGTATGCTATGGTTTGCACTAGACCGGATCTTGCACATGCTGTCAGTGTTGTCAGTAGGTTCATGAGTGACCCTGGTAAGGAGCATTGGCAAGCAGTGAAGAGGATTTTTCGTTACCTTAGAGGTACGTCTGATGTTGGTCTCATTTATGGTAGTGATGTGGCATGCTTAGTTACAGGTTTTTCGGATTCCGATTATGCTGGGGATGTAGATGGTAAAAGGTCTATGACTGGTTCACTCTTGGTGGTTCTGTTGTTAGTTGGAAAGCTACTTTGCAGCCTACAATGACTTTATCTACTACCGAAGCAGAGTACATGGCCTTGACAGAAGCGGCTAAGGAGGGAATTTGGCTAAAAGGACTAGTCAGTGATTTAAAAATACATCATGATCAGGCAACGGTGTATTGTGACAGTTTGAGTGCAATATGCTTGGCCAAGGATCAAGTACATCATGAGAGAACTAAGCACATTGATGTCAGATATCATTTCTTGCGAAGTGAGACGAGAATTAAGGTGAAGAAAGTAGGTACTGCTAATAACCCTGCCGATATGTTCACCAAGCCGGTTCAGCAGAGTAAGTTTCAACATTGTTTGAACTTACTAAATGTTCGAGGTTGTTAGTAGCCCTCGGGGGCTAATCTGGAGCTCTTATGAGCTAATTTGGTGTCCTACGGGGCAAATTTGGTATGGTTGTCTTTTGGGACAAATCTGGTTATAGGGAGAGTCTGGGCATTGTGATCAATGCATCTGGTTTTGTGAGAGGATTCAAGTCAAGGTGGAGATTGTTAAATTATGCCTTGAATAAGATTATATGGCACATGAATATGACTACCTTGGGCACCAAGTGTCTTACTTGGGCACCAATCCTTGGGCAACAAGTGTTAAACTTGGGCACCAAGTGTTATACTTGGGCACCATGGTAAAGTTTACCTTGGGCTCCAAGGTTAGGAGGTCTATAAATACCCCTTAGGATTAGTCATATTCATTCATTCATTCCATAAGTAGTATTTCATATGGTGATACTCATGGGAATCATGGGATATATTCATGGGGATATTCAATATCACTTTGTAATATATAATCTGGAATCTGGAAAAGATCCTCAAGATCAATAAAAGGTTTTTCTCTCGTCTGTCCGTGGAGGTAGCCAATTTGATAATTGGTAACCACGTAAATCTGTGTGTTCTTGTTAATACATTCTTATTTTGTTTCTCCCTCACATCCGTCATAACAAATACCAACTTAGTTTGCTCTACAAAACAAATTTGTTTGCCAAAGCTTATTAACAATATGTGTAACAATAGTGTAGCTACTAGCTTGAGATTTTTATATGTTTGCAAGCAACATTTTCCCAACCGTTGAGGTTGCTATTATTTGATGAAATTTCCGTCCTGGCTAAAAGTATAAGATTTATATGTGATGCAATGAATTATGACAAAGGTTGATTAGTGTGAAGTCAAAGAGTCACAGGTACAATATTGAGAAAAAGATTGAATTTTCGAATGAAAATATATCTTATGGTCAGCTTCTCTTCGAAAAGAGCATCACCCACAATATCAAAGCAGTATGATGGAATCTCACTAAACAAAGAAAAAGCTTTTATTTATCAAAAAACACTCCATGAGTAATATTCTGTAAACATAACAGGAAGAATTGCTTAGATATGCCCACAAAGTGAGGCCTATTAAGGAAGATTATTTATTCACAACATCAAACAACTACATTACTCACACCAAGTAAATCACTTACAAAATGATGTTTAAAGAAACAATTGGAAGTGATAAGAGAAAAATATTTGTGAGAAAAAGCATACCAGCTGGCGCATTTCCTCCACTGAAACTATTCCAAGCATGCCACGTTCTCTGCATTCTTCACGAAGTTCAGCTTCTGAAAGTGACTCAATACCCTCTGCTTGAATCAACCTATCATCAGCTTTAATTCTGTGGTTTCAATTTAACCAGAAAACAAGGAAACAGAAAACATGAGCAAAAGTAAAAAAACCCTTCACTACATAATACACAATGCATTCTATAATTAGACATAATCTATAAATCTGCATACTATTTTTGCACTTTTTTTTTTCATTTTTTAATTACATTTGACAGTGAGACTCCCTACGTTTTTTTTTTTTACAAATGCACCATTTGGAATTTCTCGCTTGTCAATGCACATTTCATATCCTATGTTTGGTTATGAAGAGAAGGTTTGATCACCCTTTTGCTTCACTAATTAGGAATACCACCAATTCTAAATTTTAAGCCTACCCTCACCCTTTCTCCCTTACGTTACAACCTTTGGAAAAGCCTTTTGACCTAAAACGGATTTCCAGCTGGGAGCGCCCGCTCCATAATAAGGACCCGCTTCTCAGCTAGGAGCGCCCGCTCTTAAGCCTTGCACGCCTGCTCCACCACCTTCAGGGTCTTGTTTGATTCCTCTCAATGAATGATACGATCATAAGAATATTAATTTTTATAATTTTGACTACGCAACTAAAGATATCAACAATCAAAGATATGCATTAGCAAATATGCACAACCAAAATACAAAGAAATAAAAACGGAAAAAGTATCTTATATAATCTTTTAGTAAAAATTTTGATATTTTGAAAGTATATATTGAGATGAATATAAAAAATTCTGTCAAATGATTTAAGTTTACCTTATGTATAAATCACAAAAGATGGTCAAGGGGAATGCGTGAATGATACAAAACCTCGTATAGTGAAATCATCAAAGAATGGTTCCAATAATGCGTCTTATACTTCCAGTTATTGTATATTTATTTTTACATTTTTCTCTTTATTCTTGGCGATGCCCTTCTCATACGTACGAAAGAGAAGATCATGACTTGTTCATGTGTTTTTTAATATGAAGTAATGTCAAGGATTTTTTTTTTAATCCTATTTTCAATACTGTTCAACTATACTTCAAATATTTAGATATTGATGTATAATAATTGTAACAATTCTTAATTTAGTAAGAATCCACCACTATTATATTTCTTCTCTCTCCCACTAACCCCACTTGCATAAATATTTTAATACATCTCTATCCTTCTTAGTTCTTACCCCACTTATACTACTCCCTCCGTCCCTTTTTTACATTCCTGTTTGTAAAATTACACGAAAATTAAGGAACTAAGAATAAAACAAATAACAATAAAACAAAACACAATGGGAAGTACAAAACATTAAATAATGTCTTTGAGTAAAACAAAGATAAATTAATATTTAATGATGCCATGTCATCAATCCTTCGAGAGAGAAAAAAAAAAAGCTCCTATTGGAAAATTAAGAACCAATCATAATCATCTAAATTTAGGCACAAGGATTCTTAATTTTTTTTAGAGGAAAATAAAAGTGAAAATAGGAAAGTAAGAGTGAACATTAATTACAAAACAGAAAAAGAGGGATAATTTGGGATATTTGAAAAAAAAAATACTTACTAAAAAAGGAAAGGAGGAATGTAATTTTGGAATACCCAAAAAGGAAAGGAAGAATGTAAAAAAGGGACAGAGGGAGTACTTTTTTTTTATTATTTCTCTCTCCAACTAACAATTAAATGTATCTCCATGGCTCCACCAACTATACTTTATATTATAAAATTCACCCTATGATCCCTACTCTATAAATTTCCTAAAACCGTGTGCAAGCCCTACTATTGCGATTATTACGAACGGATGGAGTAGCGATTTCAATAGTTATTGTCCCCATGCAAGTCCATCTAATAGATCACTTCAGCCATGACAATGATGAAAATTAAACTTACCGCTTCAGCTTATCACGAAGATTGTAACGCAAATATGCATCTGTACCAAAAGGACTGATTCCCATATATTTACACATGTTCACTAATCGTGGCCTGAAACAGAAAGTCAGAAATGCATTAATAGCCTTTTTTGTATAATTGCATCAATAGTGAGGAAGGAAACAACACTAGGCAGGGGTTGCGCAAAAAAAGACGGTCAATACTGATAACAGCTACACAGATTGCAGCAGAGGAAAGAAATGAACCTGCTGATATTATCAAGGGTGAGTTCATCATTGAATAGCTTTGCAAAGCCCAATATTTCTTCATTTGAGACACTATCACCTTTTCTAACCTAAAACAGCATTTATTTGCCTCAATACAAGATGAACACCAAGAGCAAAGAAATAAAATAAAAAACTCAAAATAATATCAACCTACTTTGTTCAAAAACTCATCAAGGTCTTCAGCAGTTTTCTTCATCTCTCCACTGTGTGAATTTTGCACTTCTTTGGACATTTGTTTAACAGTGTCCTGAAGAAACTTTGCATATTCTATTCTTGCAGTTAGTCTTCGCTTTAAGGCGTCCTATAAGATGCATCCATTGTTAATGAAGATATTATGCTAGCAATAATGTTAAGTGCATTATGAGATACCACATAGATATTTACACAATCACTATCCCTGACAAGAACACCCCAGGTATGAATAAAATAACCATCCCAGGTATGTCATCATTTGCAGAACACCACCTATCTAATATCTGGCAGTAGAATCAAGTTTTCTTGGACATGGTTTGATTAACTCAGACAAGTATCGATTTGATAGAAATCTCTTCAATAACCATGAAACCCAAATCTTACATCAACACATCATATAGCTTCCAACAAGATAAATAGATAATACTATAACAAGAACAGGACTGGATCTAATCTGCATAAGCAACACATTTCAAGTGATAGCCAGCTAAAAAGGATAGGGTTTGGTCAAGTGCATATACCCTTTTTTAGGGATGGCCAAGTGCCTAAATAAATAAATAATTATAATAATTACCCTTTCTCTCCAAAAGATGAATAAGTTCATTCAATTTGCACTCCTATCCGTTAGAGTAAAAAGCAGTTGGCATCAGATCAAGGACCTTCTGAAATAACCTTTTTGCAAAATTGCAAATAGCAACTGCAGGTGTATTGTTCATTTGATCCCCCTCCCCCCCCCCCCTCTTTCTGTTCTCCTTCCAATAACCCTAGGCTGGAGACTGGTTTCCAGACATTGAGGAAATGGTATTTCATGATGAGCTGCAGAAAAAGAAGTGAAAGGTGCAGGATCAAAAGTTTCAAGCCTTTTTGTCCATATGGAGTTGTATGCAGTATAGATAATGACCTCATAAATCATCACAAACATATGAAGCAGAGTTAATTTATATTTGTACATAACATGATCAAGGAAAGATATAAACCCAGTACACTGACTATCCAACTTTATCAGTCATTTAAAATCATAAGACCTAAATACAATTTCCTTGTATTCAAAACATAAAAGGAAAAGTTTAATATTTAAAATTAATTCTGAACAGCAAACCTGCTCTCTCATCTTGTCTTGAAAGGTGGATGGAAGCATGTTTGGAAAAAACTTTAAAAACACTGGCAGTAAAAACTCCATGAATGGGACAATGACAAAAACTGCAAGGGGAACAAGTCGAAAAATGTCTGCTGTTGTCCTTGTAAGCTGTTGTCTTTCCCTTCGAGAGAGACTTTTTCCACCAGCGAGTTTAAGAAGCAACCTTGAACTAATTCGCACATCTGCCCACAACAGTTTGCAGCCCAACCAATAATGACGCGCGGTTGATTTGACAACTTCATTCCAATGAACCATTTTTTTAGCCCAATCCTCTCTGCATCCAGAATCATATAAAAGATGAGCATTCATGCCATTCAATAACCATAGGGATGACCCATCAAATGTCAACCAATAATATCTACAGCCCTATAGGGATGGCAAGAGCACCACCTAATTAATACAAAAGCCAACTAACCTGCTCATGGAAGCTATAGCTTTCATAGCAGGACCTATTCCCAAAAGTGTAGCCCACACTCTATGCAGAACACTCTTTGCACTCTTTTGTGAATCCTGCAATTTAGATCTTACTTTTGCTTTGGCACTACTTAAGCCGACTACAGCTTGATCACATTCCTCTGGAGATGCATCCTTTCTCTTCTTAGCAGCAACTTCTTCATTTTCATCATCATCATACTCTGGTTGTCCAGCTGTGGCAGTGGAGGCATGACGTATGGATTGTAACCTCAATGCAATAGACGTTGGCATCCCATTTTTCTGTCTATCATATTGATAAGCAGGTGACCTAACTACATAATGAGTAGACCTATACACTTCTTGTGCAGAAAAGTCTGTTACTTGGCTTTTAGGATTAAAAGATGAAAATGCATTTCCCTCATCCACATGATTTGTCTTTGAAGAAACACTGTTTGCAGTAGAGCTAAAACTTCGAAAATTAAAATACTGACTGGACTGGTCAGGGCTAGCACTCTGGTAAATCTGGATATATCGTAATTGGACATTTAAATAATCTAAAAGACATTTTTTCCTTCTCACTAGAATTCTAGCTGCCATTAGCAAGATATCCTGCCTTCACCCAGAAAAAACCACATTCACACTTGCCAAGCCTGCATTCAAAGCAATTTGGTCACTATCACCATTATGAGGGCCCAGCAAAAGTATACCAGCACAGAGAGGTGAAAGTGTAATTTTGTTCACTAATAATGAAAAGAAGAAATTATAAAGCTCCATATGATGCATTCATTTCTTAGTTATGCTTAATAAGACATGTCCTCCACCATTTATTCTTTTCTACGTTTGTCTTTCCAAAGATTAATAACCCTTTTAAACAATCATATTTGATATATAAATACTGTTCATGTTGTGCAGTCATCCACATAGAGTATAGAGATTATAGAAAACAGCAATAACATTTTAAAAAAAAAAAGGGACATTGTCAAGAAATAGAGAATATATCACTTTTTTAAAGCAGCAACTACAAAGATTTTGGACCTTTACTTTGGCAGATTCCACTTGGTGGAATTTTTTTTTTTTTTTTGTCAGGGAATGGATTAGCAGGGTTAATTGTTTAATTAAGGTAGGTTAGTTATTATACTTAATTATGTTAGCGAATTAGCCATTTATGCATGGATCTGATTTAATCACAATTAGTATGTATATAAGCAAGATCAGGGGTTTGCTAAAGAAATTGGCAAACAAAATAAATAAGTTCCACCAAATGAGATTTGCCAAAGCATAGGGTCACTATATAATTTTCCCTAAGGTATTTATTTTTACATAAATCTATATTATTAGACACTACCTCTTAGGCCCTGTTTGGTTTGATGTAAAAGGTTTTCATGGAAAATGAATTTTCCATTTTTTCCCATTTTCCTTTGTTTGGTTTGTTAAGGAGTGGAAAACAATTTTTCAAGGGTGGAAAATTCCATCTTTAATGATGGAAAACATTTTCCTTCCAAAAATAAGGGAAGCCACATTTTCCTCTCTCTTCCTTACCTCTTTTTTTACTTCCCTCTCATTCATCCCTACATTTCCACTCTTATTTTTTATTTTTCTTGGACTTTTCTTGTATGCAACCAAACAATGGAAAATTAATTTGCAATTGTGTTTTTCCTTGAAAATATGTTTTCCATGAAAACTAATTTTCCATTGAAAATGTTTTACGTTAAATCAAACGGGGCCTTAACTCTCTAAGCAAAAGATACTTACTTTGACCATAGAATTCACTTAATTTGTCAACCAAAGGACAAATGATGGCAATACTATCCCTCAGTGGGCAATTTAAGGACATACAATGATCGATTGAGGGTCAAATTAGAACATTATATAAAAGAAAAAGGTAATGTTTCTTGACGAAACATGTCTTAGAAGGAATTGTTGGAAAAAATACAAAAAATCACATAACAAGTTGTTTTCTTATGTAAAAAGCCCTTAGATTGCCACTGTTACCACAGTCCTTTATGCAAAGTTCTAAGGACATAATCCATGTTATTCGGACTCTACGTTTTACCTCAACTACTCGTGTCGGACCCTAGACACTCGGACATGGGTATGCCACTCGTACACCTCATTTTAGTTCAAAATCATATTACTTTTTCACAAAATAGCCGAGTCGGACAACATACCCGCCGAGTAACATAGGACATAATTGACTAATTGACCATCGTGATTAGAAGTTGCGTTTGATTTCTATGCACTAGATTTTAGTTGCATTTTCCCTCATTAGTTTTCTGGAAAATATACTGTATTGTGTCAATCAAGCATCATATCTTACTGATTGATAATCTATTTTCCTAAACAGGGGTTAGAAGAACTGATATATATATAAATGATTTTTCTTATCACAATCACTCTAAAATCCCAATAAAACGTTGATTATTGTATAATATTGAATCACAATTATTATATACAAAATAATATTCCTTCCTGTTTTTTTGTTTTTGAAAAAATAGTATTGCTTCATTCCTTTTAAAATAATTAGTTACATTTAAATCAACAAGGAAGCGATCTTAATTCACTTTTAATGCTCGAACTCTTCATTTCACTTCAAGTACCCATGCCACACTCCGACATCAGTACGGCCACTTCCTACAGTCAACTTACAATCAAAATCATGGAATTTTATGTTTTTCGCAAATTCATGTAATCGAGCTGGAAACCAGTAAAACATGTAAGAGTACGGAGCATTAGTAACAGAGGCTGCATTATTAAGTGTCAATCATTTTTCTTTTTTCTTCAACAAAGTTAAAAATGAATACTACTTTGTACTTAAATTAATTCCTAGATTGAAAAATCGATTGCAACTCATAGTTTCATAGCCATTAATAAAATATATGGTGTTTGATCAAATAAATAAATGAATATAGCACTAAAATTAATTTCTCCTAAAATTACATTCAGAAAATTATACGACATATACAGCAACAAGGAAAATGATTGTTAAACAAAATTAGCACAAAATGTGAAACTAACAGCAAATTAAGCATCAATTAATCGAAATTAACAAATAACTCGAAACAAATTTAGATGAACTTACAAGATTAGAAATGAAAATGGTGAGATGAACTGCACAAAAATGAGAAAGTGATAGTAAAAAAATATGGAGAGAGAGAGGAAGATTGAGAAGAGAGAATATAGTGTAGTTGAGTATGAAGCGTGGAGTTTGGAGAGTGGAGAGAAAGAGAGGGAGGGTTTTAGTTTAATTTTATTAAATTAAAAAAAAAAAATAAAAAAAAAATAAATGGGGTTTAAGTTTTGAAGGTCACTGTCCTTGTTGGAATTGAGATTGCTGCGTACGAAAATTTCATTCTCTCATGTCTATATGACTCGTGGCATTATCGGTTTTCTCATGATTTTATAGAGTTAAAACACAAAATTAGGTACTCAATTCTTCCTTTTTTCACCGTTTAGGTACTCAATTATTTTTACTTTGCTTTTGGGTACTGAGTTAAGAATTCCGGCCAAAAAAAATAAATCAGTCAAAGAATTCAGTACCATGGGTTAAAGAATTTAGTACCTTTGGTTAAGAGTATGTGGGCCCCACCCGATTAAAAAATTCGCGGGTCAACTCATTTTTTTCCCTTTTCTTTTTCTTTATTCCCCCTTTTTGCTCCTTTATTTTTTCCCATTTCTGGAAACATTGTTGCGTCACTTTCGAAGAACAACGAGCAACCTTGGGCTCGGTTCTGGGGAAAACGACACCAAAAGCCGCCATTTTTTTTTAGGTAAGCTCAATTTCTCATCGTTTATGTTGTTAATTTAATATAAATTTTGGATTTTTTGCCCATTTGTTGATGTTTGTTGCGACCTAGGGTTTTCGATATTTTGGGGTTTTTTTTAACAAATTGATGATGTCGATTGGTTGTGTTTTTTGTGTTAAATTTGTTGCTTTGTCGTTGTTTGTTGTTGGATTAAGGTAGTGTTGTTGTTGAATGTTGATTTCATGTTGTTTACAATGCGCAAGGGTTGGATTAGTTTATATGTTTTTCGCACTAAAACATGGGAGGTTTTGGTGAAATTGTGTATATATGCTGAATTTGTGTCCTCACAGAATATTCAAAGTTATCCTTCTATGAGGCTGAATTCCCAGAACTAGGTTCATACAAATTACATACAGTTAGGGGGTATGAATTTTGGTCCGTTAAACTAAGAATTTTGGTCCTGCAGTGGTAATGATATGAACTTGTTGTAAGTTGTTCCTAATTATGTAGTTTTTATAAGTTTTGGTTGATCATTTGACTTAGTGGCCCATGTCATAGTTTGGAAGTTCCATTGTAGCAGAATGTTGATTTCATGTTGTTTACAATGCGCAAGGGTTGGATTAGTTTATATGTTTTTCGCACTAAAACAGGGGAGGTTTTGGTGAAATTGTTTATGTGTGATTGATGGTGTTGTGTGTGTTTTTGTTGTGCATTTGAAGTGCCTAACTTCAAAATATGGTAATTGTTCTGTTTAACGAAGAATGAAGCAGGGAGGAGCTGAAAATGAAATTATGGGTGTTCAAACTGTGCAAACTGCTCATCCATTGCTGTTTATGGATGATATTATGTGTGTTCATCCATTGTAGCATTTGTAATTCTCACAAATTTGTCCTTGATATCCTTTGCATAGCCCTTCTGTTACAGTGGCAGCAGACCATGATATGCACCTTACTGTTTCTGTTTTTTCAAATTTGCAGGAGGCCGATTTTGTGGTTGGACAGAAGAAGAAGCAGTAGTAGGGGCAGACTTGAAGTACCAGCAGCAGGGGAAGCAGCAGCAGCTTCTGTTTCTGTGTTTTTTTTATTATTATTATTTTCTACAAAATCTGGGAAAACCTTGTTGAAGAATTTATGCCTAAATAAACATGGTCAATGAACCTGTTTTGATGAATTTTGTTGCTGGATATACTGCTACAGATTCGGTCTTGCTGTTTTTGTTTTTTTTTTTTTTTTTTTTTTTTGAAATTGAATCAGGGACAATGGTTTTGGATGAATTTTGTTAAGCAACAATGGCTGATTTTGTGGCTGGACAGAAGAAGCAGCAGCAGGGGCAGACTTGAAGTACCAGCAGCAGCAGCAGCTTCTGTTTCTGTGTTTTTTTTTTCTACAAAATCTGGGAAAATCTTAAAGAATTTCTGCCTAAATAAACATGGTCAATGAACCTGTTTTGATGAATTTTGTTGCTGGTTAAACTGCTACAGATTCTGTATTGCTGTTTTTGTTTTTTTTTTTTTATTGAAATTGAATCAGGGACAAATGGTTTTGGATGAATTTTGTTAAGCAACAATGGTGATTCTGCCATGTTCATGCCCCTTTAAATAGAGAAACTAACGGCTAGTTTCTTAGTCAAATTTAATACATTTTTTTTTTAAATATTAATTTTTTAATTAGGTATGGGGCCCACATACTCTTAACCAAAGGTACTAAATTCTTTAACACAAGGTACTGAATTCTTTGGCTGATTTATTTTTTTTGGCCGGAATTCTTAACTCAGTACCCAAAAGCAAAGTAAAAAAAATTGAGTACCAAAAGGTGAATTTTTCAAGAATTGAGTACCTAATTGTACTCTTAACTCGATTTTATAATAACAAAGATTTTTAACCATTAAGAGCATCTCAAATGGTTTTTTTTAAGGACTTGCTTGCAAATATGAAAAATAATAAAAGTGTTGCTTAACCATTGGAGCACTATTGAAATACCTACTCTCTTGAGCAGTACTGTTGAGTTAAGCTACACTTGCTAGGAAATATTAAACATTTATAAATTAAATTAAAAATATCATTTTTTTAATCTTTTTCTAAAAGAATAAATATTAAAATATTATTTTCATCATTATCAAATGAGTGAAATGACATATAGATAAGTGATATTGTCTTTTTTTTTTCTGGTGAGAAGAATTTTTTTTTTTAATAGGAGTTTACAAAACAATAGGTTTCACGTAACAAATTCAATTGCAATGTAATGATTGTAATTAATCTGTATCTTTCACTTTTCATAGTTTTTATTTTATTTTATTTAATTTTTTTATTCTTACAATTTTAAATAAAAATAATATTGATGTGACAAATCAAGCTACAATTACCATTGGAGTACTTTGTAGCTTAAAAAGGTTGTAGCTCTAAAAGTTGACATGGCAAAGCAAGCCTTTGTAGCTTACCATTGGAGATGCTCTAATGCATTTGTCAAATTTTCACTTTGGTTCAATATGAAGTTAGAAATAAAATAGTGAAAGCTAAACGTCGCCCTCAAAAATCTAACTAACGCCCTCAAAATAAATTAAAATTATAAATTTACACTTTTTAATAAAAAAAAAAAAAATTACCCGTCAATTTACCCCCCTCTTCATACGACCCACCACTACCACCTCTTCATACTAACCACCACTACCACCACCACCACCTCCTCCTCCTCCTCTTTTGACCACCAACTCCTTACCTTTGTTTCATGATCTACACAGTCACGGTAATGACGAGTAAGGACAAAGGGAAGTCGGTCGCCGGCGGAGAAAATGTTTGTTATTATTATTATTATTTTCTGAATTCGCGACAAACACCTAGATTTTTCACACGTCCTAGGCTCAAACACCTAGTTCGTGCAAACAATCGTGTGGTTGTATGAAAAATCTGGGCGTTTGAGGTGAAACGCCTAGTTTTTTAGAGTATCCTAGGCTGAAACGACTAGTTTTTTTGAATAACCTAGGATGTTTCACCTACGGTATTCGAAAATTCTAGGCGTTTCTTGGATTTCGAATTTTTTTAAAAAAATTATCGCGACGTACCGATTTCGTATGGTTTGACGAGCCTTTGGCGAGCGTCTAAGATTGTGTTTCTGGTATTTCTTCGTTGTCCATAAGATCTAACGAATTTGATTTTGCAAAATTTAAAAAATTTGTTTGATTTTGAAACTCACAGTGGTTGGGGTTGTTTCCGATGAGCGTTAGTGGCCGTTGACCACTAGAGAGAACGGTAAAAAGTTTTGTGTATAGTAAAAGTGTGAAATTGAGGTAAAATTTATTATTTTTATAATCATTATTATAAGGATAAATACGTAATTTTATTTTATTTTGCGGGCGTTAGTTAAATATTCGAGGGCGATATTTAACAACCCAAAAAAATGATGTCATTATTGTTTTGGCGGGAAAATTTTTTATAAGAGGTTGACATGTGAAAAGTAATGACATCAACGGTAATTACTTTAGTTATATCTATAGATAGATTGATTATATTCTTTTCTCATTAACTTTTAGCTTATGTAAATGTGTTATATTTTGACTGGTAAATTTTACACCTTTATTTCTGAGATAAGCTAAAATACGGTCCCTCAACTATTGTATTTGTAGCATTTGGTCCCTCATCTTTTTAATGAACCAAATTGGTCCATCTGCCACCCTTACATGATTTTTTCTGGTGAAAAAATAATGAGTCACCATAGTTTAGGGACTACAGTGCCCATGTGGCAAAAGAAAAAAAAATATAATCAACGTTTAAGGAATTTGGTATGAGTTGGCATTATTTAATTAATGAAGCGGTAAAGTTTAGAGACCTTCTTCCTCGGTTATCTTTGGTCCATGACCTTGTCTTTGACACTATTAGCCCACAAATCCACAATGACACCTTTGACCACTTCCACTTGATCCATTGCTACATCTAGACATTGCATGTCATCAATAAACATATTAATATTGCTTAAATCTTCTAATTTTGATCAACTCCTAAATACCTTAATTACTAATTTTATTGCAGAGCAGATACCTTGGCAGGAGCTTTCTTCTTCACTGTAGCAATTTTTTTTTTTCTTTTGGAAGAACTTTTGCTTAATAGTCTGATGGTTTTAATGGCTACCAACATCAATGTATCTAGCCACTTTTGTGTGTAACGGCTAGTTTTTTGTAACTATTTTGGAATTTGGTTAATTTTTGCTGTTATAATCCTTTAGAATTAAACGCAGAGCCTCTAATCTTCAAACTACCAATTTTTTCAATGAAAATATTCATGTAAGCATGCAGCTCCTTAATCTTTCGGCAAAAAGAAGTGCAATCCCTAAACTAATACTGACTCAACGAGAGAAAGTCCTTAAACTTTGGCTTAGTTGGCTGTAAACATCCCTCAACTTTGTTGAATCAGATTTTCCTCCACCTGGTGAGCCAAGGATGGCAGAGGGACTAATTTGCCTCATTTCAAAGACGAGGGACCAAATATGCAACTAATGGTATAGTTTAGGGACCGTATTTTAACTTATCTCCTTTATTTTTAGTTTATGATACAGTTGAGATCTAAGCAAATTGAATTAGACTAATACTTCCCTCGCTTTTAAATCATGGTCACCTTTTGAATTTTGGTTTTATTAACAAAGTCCAAAGACTCAATATGGACTCTGTTAGTTTGTGAATTGGACCAAACTCGGAAGGGCATCCATTATTTCAATTCTAAATTATACACTAAAAAAAAAATTAACATGGGATTTTGATTTCGTATTTTTTCGAAACATTAACTTTTACATTTTTAAATATACCTAATTAAAAATATTAGTATTCATAGTTTATTGACAACTTGAAAAGGTGAAGTGTAACAGATGATGAGATGAAACTCTTCAAAATAAAAATCCGAAATTATAGTGATCCTTGTTTGATAGCTGGGACTTCGACTGCCAATGTTGTATAGGAATTGGGAGAGCTGAGGTCTTTTTCATCTCTGTTGAAGGA